ACGTCGGAAAAAATTGGTTGCTCAAAATTTTCAAAAAAATTGTTTTTCAATATCAAATTCGAAGTCATTTATTTCCAAAATCAAAACAATAGCCATGACCTTCAGCCGCAACCAAATGTCTACGTCATTGTACCCGATAATAATCTTTAACACATTTCCATTTCGCTTATCTCAAGACGCATAAAAACTCGTCACCGTGGTGATTCGAATCAAAGGAACGCATATGCTTCCCACACTCATGCGTTCACACACACACACTCACTCACCGGCAATCTGTTAACTTGATCACTTAAAATTAGTTAAAATAAAAATTAATTTTAATCCCTGCTGTCAATACCGATTATCGGAACTGTGGCTATTTGTAATTCACTTTTTAATGGCCAATTAACGTCGACTGTGGCTTATCATCGATGTCACATTGCAATGCAGGGTAATTTTTTTGTTTGTTGGTTTGTTTTCATTTTCATTAGGCCGAAGAAAAAAAAAACGTGTGGAAGCTATTCGTTCGCATAAATTATGTGGGTACTTCAATTTTGAAAAAAATTGTATTTTTATTTGAAAATAAGTGGCAACTAACTGCTAATTTACGTCACCTCGGTCATAAATCAATAAATCATGATTTGGATTAAGATTTTAACCGAATATTTTTGGTTTTGACTAAACTTACAGAATGGTATTCGATAATCTAATCGATATTGTTTTATAATTCCGGATCAATGCGGATTTTTATATTGAAAAGTAAAAACACAAAATAGTCAATAGTAAACAAACTGAAGAGCTCTTGGGCGGCTGGCTAGCTGGCCAGAGAGTCGATTTTCATAGACGAGCTGATTTTACTTTTAATATTTTTCAAGGTCTATGGTGGATTTTTAACATATATTTTAATTCCGAGGCTTGGATTTCTTAAAAATATTTTTTCAACCATATACACAAGGCGTGGATTTTTTAGAAATAGGGGATGATAGATACCAAGCAACGGGTCTGATTGGCTTTAACATGGCGAAGTCCAGGCTTATTTTGGACCCTTTTTCGTCTCAATTGTAGACACTGACCTCCCCGCGGTGTCACCTGGGTTATCTATTTTCATCACCCGTTGCAATAGTTCACCCATAAGAACTATAAAAAAATGGGTTGAGGCGTCGGGTTAGTTGCCTACACTCGGAAAACCCCTTTTACTATGAAAAAGCAAAGAAAAAAAAACCAAACCCCCCTAATGTTGACGACCCCCGCAAACGTACATAGGACCACGATCTGCGAATCTGCACTTGGAATGTGCGCACTTTGTACAGAACAGGCGCAGTGTTCGCTTTGGCGGATGTACTCAAGAATGGAAATGGAAATGTGATGGAAAGGGACTGGCGTAAGTAAATCAGACGATTACGCCCTGTATTATAGCTGCCATGAAACGAGACATGAATTTGCCTGCGGATTTATGGTTAACAGGAGAATAAAAGACCTCGTCTCCAGATTCACTAAAGTAGATTAGCGGATTGCTATAATCCGCATAAAAGCGAAGTTTTTCTACATCAGTCTTATTTGCTCCCATGCTCAGACCGAACAGGAGAATAAAAGACCTCGTCTCCAGATTCACTCCAGCAGATGAGTATGGGCTTATTTGCGCCCATGCTCCGACCGAAGACAAAGGTGAGCAGACCAAAGACATATTTTATGAGCGCCTAGAAACAGCAAATGATCGCTGCCCTGGCCATGACATTAAAATGACAAAAAATGGATGGGAAAATTTTCTTTGGCCCCACCGTCGGAAAATTCAGCCTTCATGAAGAAACATCCGACAACGGCATGAGGTTGATTGACTTCGCGGCAGCAAAAAAAACATGGTAGTTAGCAGCACCAGATTCAAGTATTTCGATATACACCAGGATCTCTACTGAACAAGCAACGAGAAATAAAATTGATCATGTTGTGATGGACGGAAGGCATTCATCCAGTGTTTTAGACGTCTGAACGATCCGAGGAGCGAATATCGATTCGGACCACTACCTTGTAGCAGCCAAGGTTCGCACTCGTCTTAATGTTGAAGCAAAGGTGCGATCTAACACAACACGGAAACTCGACGTCGAAATGCTGCAAACACAACAGGTAGCCGAGGGGCCTACTCCGCTCAACTTACCCACCTGATTGAGGAAAGCACTTGGCAAAGAATTGCCCACTCCCTACAAACTACAGCAAAAGCAACACTTAGGTATCAAAGACCACCATCAAGAAATCCATGGTACGATCAGGAGTGTCGTAATGCTACTGATGTGAAAAACGCAGCGTATAGGGCAACCCTGCAGACAGTAGCAACACGTAACGCGATGGACAATTATCGTGAGAAAAGAGGAGAAAGGAGAAACGTGTTTTCAGAAAAAAAGAAGAAAGAATAAGAAAAACCTGAGCGTGAGCAAATCGAGATGTACAGGAGCGAGAATGAAGTCCGGAAATTTTATCAACGAGTAAAATACCAAACCGAAGGTTTTGGTGCAGGCACATCCTCCTGTAGCGATGAAGAAGGGGGATCTGGAAGGAGTATTTTGAAAAGCTTCTGGTATCAAATAGTGGCGGTGAAGAAGATACCCCAGAACCAATAATAGATGACGGTATAGAGTGTATACCACCTAGTCAAGATGAGGTCGGAATAGCAATCAATCGGCTGAAGAATAATAAAGCAGCAGGTGTCGATGGGTTACCAGCCGAACTATTCAAGACTGGTGGTCAGATGCTGGTCAGGAGCATGCAGCAGCTGATTAGTACAATTTGGCTAGAGGAATACATGCCCAATGATTGGAATCTCAGCATCTTGTGTCCCGTGCACAAAAAAGTAGACAGGACGATATATGCCAACTTTAGAGGAATAAGTCTCCTTCTCATCGCATATAAAGTGCTATCCAGTGTGCTGTGTGAACGACTGAAGCCAATGGTCAATGACATTATTGGATCATACCAATGCGGCTTTAGACCTGGTAAATCCACCATTGACCAGATTTTCACTCTGCGCCAAATCCTGGAAAATAGCCACGATAAACACATCGACACATACTACGTATTTGTCGACTATAAAGTCGCATGCGACAGCCCTATCCGCTCAGAGGTGTTTAAAACCATGTCTACATTCGGCATTCCTGCATGTCTACATTCGACATTCCTACGGCTATGAAGGATAACTTTAACTGGTACAAGGACAGCATTTAAAGTCGCAAAGGACCTCTCGTGGCCTTTCAATACCGAACGAGGATTCAGACAAGGTGACAGTTTGTCGTGTGATCTCTTTAACATCATACTGGAAAAGGTCATACGAGACGCAAAGGTGAACAGAAATGACACTCTGTACACCAAACAACACATGTTACTCGCCTACGCCGATGACATCGATATAATGGGTCGAACATTGCGTGCGGTAACAGCCAACTTTGAACAAATTGCGAAGGAGTCTGCCAAAGTGGGTCTGACAGTAAACGGCGAGAAGACCTAGCAGATGGTATCAACGCGCCAGATGTCCAGTAGACTCGGTCCAACTGTGGAACTTGAGAACTACAGCTTCGAGGTGGTTAAAGATTTTATATACCTTGGTACCGCCATTAAGAAAACGAATGACATCAGTTTTGAAGTTCGGAGAAGGATAGTGATGGCCAACCGATGCTACTATGGTCTAAGTAAGCAGTTTAGAAACAAGGCCACCTCCAGCCAGACCAAAATCATACTTTACAAGACGCTGATACTACCCGTGCTGTTATATGGATCTGAAGCATGGGTATTTACGCAAGCAGATGGGGCAGCTCTTGGGGTGTTTGAAAGAAAAATTCTCCGAGATATCTACGGCCGATCTGCGTCGACGGTTAATGTCGGCGTCGAATGAACTATGAGTTGTACCAGCTATTATCGGACATCGACATTGTTAGAAGTATTGAACTGCGGCGGCTACGTTGGCTAGGTCATGTTGTAAGAATGGATGAAGATGCCCCAGCCCAGAAGGCATATAAAAGCGAACCAGCTGATGGTTCACGCAGAAGGAAATCATTTCTAAGCTCGGCTTATGGAACGAAAGTGCTGTCACAACCGAGGATCTACACAAGGCGTGGATTTTTTAAAGAATATTTTTTTAAAGGATCTACACAAAGCGTAGATTTTTAAAAGAATATTTTTTAAAGGATCTACACAAGGCGTGGATTTTTTAAAGAATATTTTTTCAACCATCTGCACAAGGCGTGGATTTTTTAAAGAATATTTTTTTAAAGGATCTACATAAGACGTGGATTTTTTAAAGAATATCTTTTTAAAGGATCTACACAAGGCGTGGATTTTTTAAAGAATATTTTTTCAAGGATCTACATAAGACATGGATTTTTTAAAGAATATTTTTTCAACCATCTACACAAGGCGTGCATTTTTTAAAGAATGTTCTTTCAAAGACTTCTACAAGGCGTGAATTTTCCAAAGAATATTTTTTCAAGGATCTACACAAGGCGTGGATTCTTTACAGAATATTTTTTGGAGGGCCAATACAAGGCGTGCATTTTTTAAAGAATATTTTTTCAAGAGACCCCATTAGTTGTAGGCGTGCATTTTTAAAGAATATTTTTTCAAGGATCTACACAAAATAAAACCACATTTCCATTTCAATCACACTAAAAACATTTATTAGATTTTGAGATTTTTTCTCATATTTTTCAATAAATTTTGAACTAGTTTTTTTCACATTGAATTTGTTAACTTTCTTGTTAAATGTTTGACTTAATTCTATTATTTTTTAATATAAAAAATTAACAATAAAAAGCTAAACGAGTGATAATTTCAAACCTAAAATTTAACACCAATTTTTTGGGTTGACAAAAATATAATAATGAGCAAAACTGGTTTTGAATTCATGTTAAAAAATATTATATAAATTTATAAAAAAATATATATTGCTACAAATACAATAAACCACATGCCGTTTGTAGTTCGGAACCTTAAATCCATTGGAAGGGAGTGTGGGTTTCTCCGTCTCTCTCTCCTTCCGCTTACACCACCAAATGTGAAACATCACTGGTATAGCCTGGTGAATATTTGGGTGGCATTAAATTTCCGGAATGTTTAATTTTACCCAACATTGGACCATGAACTTTGGGTGAATGTTTGGGTTTAAAAGCCGGATCCAAATAGCGGCGATTTCTCAACATATCATTATCGCCCAACCAGGCCTTCTCGGGTACACGAGAACCACCACCCAGGCGATGATAACGCCGCTTGTCGACAGTGTAACTAATGGTGCCTGGGTTGGAATTAAGGCCCACATTATACTGGCGCTGCATGGCCAGGGAGGTGCGTATGGTTTTACGTTTCTAGGGGGGAGAGGGAGGAAAAATAGATTTATTTTTATGTGCTCCTTTAAAAAATTAATTTGTCCTCACCTCTATAGTACCCCTCCACTTGGCCGCTGCATGTCGTGCTATATCCATCCTTTTTTGTTTCTTCACCTGATGTTTTTTGTAAATCACTTCGATGATGATGAGGCCCACACCTATGGCCACGCCGGCTGCCACCAATATGAAAACACCAGCCATATTTTTCAGACCCAATGTGTTGGGTGTCTTTTCAAACTGCTCACATTGCTGGGCATTGCCATGGAATATCCAGGCTTTGTCCAGGGCTTCCATGAAACCACCTAAAAGAATTAGAAAACAACATTAGTATTCCATGCCTTAAAAGAGTTCTTTAAAAAATGTAAGGTCCTTGAAAAAATATTCTTTAATAAATCCACGCCTTATTTAGTCCTTAAAAAAGTATTCTTTAATAAATCCACGCCCTAAATCAGTTGGCCCTTGAAAAATATTCTTTAATAAATCCACGCCCTAAATCAGTTGGCCCTTGAAAAATATTCTTTAATAAATCCACGCCCTAATTAGTCCTTGAAAAAATATTCTTTAATAAACCAGGCGTGGTTTATTAAAGAAAAAATATTCTTTAATAAATCCACGCCTGGGCAAGTCCTTGAAAAAATATTCTTTAATAAATCCACGCCTTATTTAGTCCTTGAAAAAATATTCTTTAATAAATCCACGCCTTGTAAGGTCCTTGAAAAAATATTCTTTAATAAGTCCACGCCTTGTAAGGTCCTTGAAAAAATATTCTTTAATAAGTCCACGCCTTGTAAGGTCCTTGAAAAAATATTCTTTAATAAGTCCACGCCTTGTAAGGTCCTTGAAAAAATATTCTTTAATAAATCCACGCCTTGTAAGGTCCTTGAAAAAATATTCTTTAATAAATCCACGCCTTGTAAGGTCCTTGAAAAAATATTCTTTAATAAATCCACGCCTTGTAAGGTCCTTGAACAAATATTCTTTAATAAATCCACGCCTTGTAAGGTCCTTGAACAAATATTCTTTAATAAATCCACGCCTTGTAAGGTCCTTGAAAAAAGATTCTTTAATAAAACAACGCCTTGTGAGGTCATTGAAAAAATATTCTTTAATAAATCCACATTGTAAGGTTCTTGAAAAAAATATTCTTTAAAAAATCCACGCCTCGTCTGAGGCCTTGAAAAAATATTCTTTAATAAAACTAAGCCTCGGTAAGTCCTTGAAAAATTATTTTTAATAAAACCACGCCCTATGTTGGTTCCTAAACGAAATATTTTGTTCACTTACTCTCATGAAACTCCAGAATCGTCAGAGTAACCGCATCAGTCCAGGGTGATCCTTTCTGCAGCCCAATACCATAACCGCTACGACCAAATAACTCTCCAGCTGTGACCAATTCACAATCCTTGGAGGCTTCATATTCCAGCCGGGAGGAGTCCCAAATAAAAGCCATTAACTTTCTAAATATTCAAAAAGAAAGGAGAAGAAGGGAGAGAGAGAAAATAAATATATTTTCTCTTCATCGTTTGATATTCCATCTCCTTACCCCTTCTTAACATCCTCAATGGCCTGTTCTGCCGTGTCATAATTATTCGCCTCCATGGTCCGGTACATATTCGACAATTCCACCTGACGTCTAAAATACATATCCACCGATGAACCTTTCACTGTGGCACATGTCAGATTCTCCATAGTATTACGCAGACGGGCATCATTAATACCACTTAACTTCGTTTTCGGACGTTCCAACACGAGGAAGGCAGCCAAGTTGGCAGTATACGAGGCGACAATGATCATGGCAAAGCCAGCCCATACCATGCCGAGAACACGGGCCGAAAAGCTACGCGGTGTACCCTCACCAATGCCACTGTTCAGTAGAACACCCCAGGCAAACCATATGGCCGAACTGAGATTTAAGGCTTTCTCTTCGTGACTGTCGACGTGAGAAAGCTTAAAGCGGCCAAATGGTGAGAATCTGTTTGGAGGTGAGGGAGAAAGGAGAGAAATTTAGAAAACTGATTAGTAACCAATTTTTTGGTTCTGAAATTATTTCAAAAATCGGTAAAGAAAAATGTGCTAAAAAATTGAGAAAAATTCTTAAAAAAATGTGTCTCATTTTTATTAAAAAAATTCATGCCCAGTTGTTAGTTATTTTACGAAAAATATAGAAATTATTTGTTAGTAATATTACAAAGAGAAAAAAGAGAGGGAGAAATTTGCTGAGAAAAAAATGAAAATGTTACAATATTTTGAGAGCAGGGTTCGGTAATGCCATCCAGGCCTCATCCTCCCATCCAGGCCCCCTATTACCCTTAAAAAAATATTTTTAAAAAATGCACGCCTCATCCTATGACCCTTCAAAATATATTTTTAAAAAATCCACGCCTCCTTCTATGACCCTTCAAAAAATATTTTTAAAAAATCCACGCCTCCTCCTATGACCCTTCAAAAAATATTTTTAAAAAATCCACGCCTCCTCCTATGACCCTTCAAAAAATATTTTTAAAAAATCCACGCCTCCTCCTATGACCCTTCAAAAAATATTTTTAAAAAATCCACGCCTCCTCCTATGATCCTTCAAAAAATATTTTTAAAAAATCCACGCCTCCTCCTATGACCCTTCAAAAAATATTTTTAAAAAATTCACGCCTCCTATGATCTTTGAAAAAAATACGATTGAAAAACATATTTTTTATCCACGCCTTAGGTTATCCTTAAAAAATATATATTTAAAAAAAATATTTCTTGCAGAATCCTCGAGTAAATATTTTTAAAATATCCACCGAACCCTGCTCATAATTAGTATAGATTTGAGGATTGTGATCTTGAGATTTTAAACCATGCTTTGCTTGCAACTTCGTATTTCGACGCCCAGTAGATTTCAGTTTTGCTACCATACTACTCCCATCCCCACCCACTTAACTTACCTATCCAACAGATATAGTACTAAGGCCACCACATGGACTGACACCACTACCAATATCCACAGCGTGTTACTGAATGGCTGCAGGAAAGACACTAAAGTACTCGATCGGGATGGTTTCTTTTCGAGTATTGTAATGCCTTGATATTTGAATGGTTTTGAAAATTCAATATATTCGGCACGCTCTGGATTAATGGTTAGTGGTGCAACAATCATGTCCGCCCGTTCATTGACCAATTCTCCGATTAAGCCAGTCCATTCTTTTTTGGGTGGTGTGGAGGGTAGGGTGCCTGTGGTGGAATTTTTCAAAATATAATGACCAAATTGTCCATCCGGCGAGAGACCAAGTTCATAGGTGAAATTAATGCGCTGCGACAAAGCCTTGAGGAGATCAATGCAATAGCCTCGACAGCAATAGTCATTTTCTAGAGGGGGAAGAAATGTTCAGAAATTAAGTAATGGAAATTTGAATTCTGAAAAATATGTCATACTCACCCACTCCGTTGGTATTATTAAACAGGGGACATGGCACCTCATCATCCACACAGGCCACCTCATCATCTGTTAGCCTTCTCACATAGACAAAGGGTTTCTCTTCAATGGTCAACACCTTGAGATGTGTGGGTATCATAATACCCTCGGGTTTCTTACGCTGCCTACCAGGCCATATTATCAGGCTGTCGTTGATGTGCAAGCGCATGGTGGCCTTGGCCTACGGGGTTGAGAGAAAATCTATTAAGAATTAAATACATTTTTGAAAGTTCGTAGCTCTTACCGGATCATAGTAGAATTCTCCCACAATTTGTCTCTTCTGTTTGGGTCTCATATTGATGACATGATAGCCGGCATAAATGCGATCTCCATTATCATCAAAGGCCACCTGGCCCGTTTCTCCGGTAATATTTCGGGTTTTCAGATAATGAAAGAGGCGTTTACCTGAAAGATAAAAAATTCAGGCCTTATAAGAGTCCTTAAGAAATATTTTTAAAAATCCAAGCCTTGGGTAGGTCCTTAAAACATTTTTTAAATTTACGTCATGGGTAAGTTCTTAAAAATAATTAAAAAATCTACTCCTTTAGAAAATATATTTTTAAAAAATTCACGCCTTGGGCAGGTCCTTGAAAAAATATTTTTAAAAAAACCACGCCTTGGGTAGGTCCTTGAAAAAATATTTTTAAAAAATCCACGCCTTGGGTAGGTCCTTGAAAAAATATTTTTAAAAAATCCACGCCTTGGGTAGGTCCTTGAAAAAATATTTTTAAAAAATCCACGCCTTGGGTAGGTTCTTGAAAAAATATTTTTAAAAAATCCACGCCTTAGGGAATTCTTGAAAAAATATTTTTAAAAAATCCACGCCTTTGGGTAGATTCTTGAAAAAATATTTTTAAAAAATCCACGCCTTGAGCAGATCCTTGGGTAGGTCCTTGAAAAAATATTTTTAAAAAATCCACGCCTTGAGCAGATCCTTGGGTAGGTCCTTGAAAAAATATTTTTAAAAAATCCACGCCTTGAGCAGATCCTTGGGTAGGTCCTTGAAAAAATATTTTTAAAAAATCCACGCCTTGAGCAGATCCTTGGGTAGGTCCTTGAAAAAATATTTTTAAAAAATCCACGCCTTGAGCAGATCCTTGGGTAGGTCCTTGAAAAAATATTTTTAAAAAATCCACGCCTTGAGCAGATCCTTGGGTAGGTCCTTGAAAAAAATATTTTTAAAAAATCCACGCCTTGCGTAGGTCCTTGAAAAAAATATTTTTAAAAAATGCACGCCTTGCGTAGTTCCTTGAAAAAAAATATTTTTAAAAAATCCACGCCTTGCGTAGGTCCTTGAAAAAAATATTTTTAAAAAATCCACGCCTTGCGTAGGTCCTTGAAAAAAATATTTTTAAAAAATCCACGCCTTGCGTAGGTCCTTAAAAAAAATATTTTTAAAAAATCCACGCCTTGCGTAGGTCCTTAAAAAAAATATTTTTAAAAAATCCACGCCTTGTGTAGATCCTTAAAAAAATATTTTTAATAAAACCACGCTTCGGTAGATCCTTGAAAAAATATTTTTAATAAAATCACTCCTCGGTAGATCCTTGAAAAAATATTTTTAAAAAATCCACGGGTAGGTTCTTGAAAAAATATTTTTAAAAAATCCACGCCATGGGCAGATCCTTGAAAAAATATTTTTAATAAAATCCATGACTTGGGTAGATCCTTGGGTAGGTCCTTCAAAAATATTTTTAAAAAAATCTATGCCTTGGGTAGGTAACGCCACAGTTGGTACATGAAAACCCCCCTCCCTTGTCAAGGTCCTTGACAAAATATTTTTTAAAAAATTGCCCTTACCTGACTCCCAATTGACCCCCGAATCATCACAATTCTTGGGTGGCTCGGTAATCGTTTCATTTTGCCGCATTTCAATGATGGCGGAGGCCAAGACGTACACAGAATCCTAAAAAAATAACAACAACAATATGAAAACAACAAATTAAATTTCATAACTCCTCTGAGCCCACCTTAATATGTGAATGATCATTGTTGACATGTTCCAGCTGTAAACCCAAAACACCATCTGGGGTATTGGGAGCACTCAAGGCCTGTTCGGTGACAATCCATACGTGGCCGGCCTCCGTCATGTTATAGGTGGCAGCATCACGGAATATTACCTGGGCATCTTCGGTACTGCAAGAAAACACAAAATTTTATTTCACCTCCCTCTCTTAGTGCCATTACTTCCCCTCACCTGGCATATAGTAAATACACCCTGCTCTGGGCCGTTTTCATTTCAATCAAATGTTCCGCAAAACTATCCAGTTTCGGTTCAAATTCCACAATCATTTCCACAGTGGCCCTTACATCAATGTCATCATAATAGGTCTGGGATGTTGTTTGGAATCTACCCAATATGGCACGACCATCAGTATCGGAGCTGTGGATAATAATTACCTGCAAAAAAGAACAACAACGAAAATTGAACACAAATTCCCTTGTGGCAACTCTATTCAATAGTCTACCCCATCCTACCTTCGTATAACCAAAATGATTTAACATCTCCAACCACACATCGGCCTGATGATAGTACGGCGGTACGGTACGCAAGAAGGACACATGAATATTTTTGTCGGAGAAGGCAGCATCACGCGATGAGATGCCAATAACAGGTATTTGAAAGAAACCACTGGTGTAGCTAACAGCAGCCGGTGATAGGTCACCTGAGGTGGATTCATGTGATACGACAACGGCATAGACCTAAGGAAGAAAGAAGTAGAGAAGAAGAAGAGAATGAGAATTACATTAAGAAGACAAATAGTCGGAAACACAAACAGAAGTTGGAAGAGTAAGGCAGGATGAAATTGAATGAAAATGCAAATGAAATTATTCTCCGGCGATGCCTGGCTGCCAATTTTGGTAAATAAGCAACAGATATGGATGAGGACATGGTATGTCCTCAACATTATCGGTAGCAATGAAATAAAATTATTTCCAATTCAATTACTTGGCATTTTGGTCTTGTGACATGGAAAGTAATAGGAAATATGAGCACTGGGTGGAGGGATTTGTAAGGGAAATTATTTATACAGAAATAACTAACGTACGGATTTTTTAAAAATATTTTTCAAGGACCAAGGCAAGGATGTACTGAGGCGTGGATTTATTAAAAATAGGTTTTCAAGGATCTACTGAGGCGTGGATTTATTAAAAATAGTTTTTCAAGGATCTACTGAGGCGTGGATTTATTAAAAATTGTTTTTCAAGGATCTACTGAGGCGTGGATTTATTAAAAATAGTTTTTCAAGGATCTACTGAGGCGTGGATTTATTAAAAATTGTTTTTCAAGGATCTACTGAGGCGTGGATTTATTAAAAATTGTTTTTCAAGGATCTACTGAGGCGTGGATTTATTAAAAATTGTTTTTCAAGGATCTACTGAGGCGTGGATTTATTACAAATGGATTTATTAAAAATAGTTTTTCAAGGATCTACTGAGGCGTGGATTTATTAAAAATAGTTTTTTCAAGGATCTACTGAGGCGTGGATTTATTAAAAATAGTTTTTCAAGGATCTACTGAGGCGTGGATTTATTAAAAATTGTTTTTCAAGGATCTACTGAGGCGTGGATTTATTAAAAATTGTTTTTCAAGGATCTACTGAGGCGTGGATTTATTAAAAATTGTTTTTCAAGGATCTATTCATCAACGCCCAGACGAAACGGCTGAAGCAAGAATCTTGAAATTTTGGGTGAGGGTAACTAGAACGATACGAAAAGTACTAAATGTGATACCGGTGGAGCTAGAACTCTGATTGGTGGTCGCTGATGAAGTGTAGGATAGATGTACCCAAGGGTTTTTGGAAATATGAACTATAACTATCCGAAAAGTACGAAAATGTACTAAATTTTGTACAATTTCGTGCATGTGAACGGATAACGCTAAAAACTTGAACTTTGGAGTGTGAATTAAGGTTGAGAAATAGGTTCCATTTAAGGAGATGGTTTTGAAAGCCTATGCTCATGTGTACGAAAAGTACTCTATGGTACTATATTTGGTGCAAATTTATTTTGGAGGTACAAATCGAGCTGGAATCGTAAAATTTGAAATTAACATTAGCGTCGGAGTGTAGGAATGGAATATGTTTGTAGTTTTGGAAATTGTTTACAGATGATGTGTACGAAAAGTACTAAATCGTACTATAATTGGTACAATTTGGATTTGGATGAACCGATAGAGCTGGAACAATGAAATTTGGAGTTAGGATCATTGTAGGGATGTAGGATTGGGGTCAGGATTCAGTTTAAGCAATTTATATTCATTGGTACTAAATGGTACAAAATTCGGTACATTTTGAATTTTAGGCGAACCAATAGAGCTAGAATCATGAAATTTGGAGTCATGATCACTGTTGAGGTGTAAGATCGAGATATGTACAAAGTTTTAAAAATTTTTACTAATGTGTACTAAATTTGGTACAATTTGAATTGTGGGTGAACTGATAGAGTTTGTACTACTGTGTACTAAATTTAGTACAGTTTGAATTGTGGGCGAACCGATAGAATTGGAATCCGGAAACTTGAATTTAGTATCACTGTTGGGATGTAGGATTGGGGTATGTAGGAAGTATTGGAAATTCGTACTATTGTGTACTAAATTTGGTACAATTTGAATTGTGGGTGTATCGAATCCTGAAACTTGGATTTAGGATCACTGTGGGAGTGAATGTTTGGGATATGTAGGATGTTTTAGAAATTGGTACTACTGTGTACTAAATTTGGTACAATTTGAATTGTGGGTGAACCGATAGAGTTGGAATCCTGAAATTTGGATTTAGGATCACTTTAGGGGTAGTTTAGGAAGTTCTCACTATTGTGTACTAAATTTGGTACAATTTGAAATGTGGGTGTACCGATAGAGTTGGAATCCTGAAACATGGATCTAGGATCACTGTGGGGGTGTTGGTTTGGGTTAAGATGGAACCTATAGAATTGGTATCCTGAAACTTGGATTTAGGATCACTTTGGGGGTGAAGGTTTGGGGTATGTAGGAAGTCTTGGAAATTCGTACTACTTTGTACTAAATTTGGTACAAATTGAATTGTGGATGAACCGATAGATTTGGAATTCTGAAACTCGGATTTAGAAAAACTGTGGGGAGGTGAGGGTTTGGGTTAAATAGGAGGTATGGGAAATTCGTACTATTGTGTACTAAATTTGGTAAAATTGTGGGTGAACCATAGACTTGGAATCGTAGGATCGGGGTATGCATGAAGTTTTGTTGGAAAGTTGAGGTGGGTAATCTTAGAAATAATGTGTGTTAAATTTGGTACAATTTTAATTTGGGTGAACCTGTAGAGCTCGAATCATGAAATTTTTGTACAAAATGGTACTCAAATTAAATTTATGGTCGATATTAATGTGTGGATAGCTTAGTTTTTCAGACTTATGCCGTTTTCTGTGAAAATAAAATAATATGTTAATACATCTTTAAATATAACGCTCATTCGCTAACGAAGTAGCAGGCATATGTTAGTTAAACATATTTTTTCAAGGACTAAAAAAGGCGTGGTTTAAAATAAAATTTTCAAGGATTAAAACAAGGCACAGTTTTATAAAAAAATAATTTTCAAGGATTAAAACAAGGCGTGGTTATAATCCTTGAAAAAGACTGTTTTTTTTTTGAAAGGATTAAAACAAGGTGTAAAAAATACACACCTGTTCTAGACCTTGAAAAAATATTCTTTAAATTTACACGCCTATTCTAGACCTTTAAAATATTCTTTAAATATCCACGGCTATAGTAGACCATGAAAAAAATATTCTTTTAATATCCACGCCTATTGTAGACAATGAAAAAATATTCTTTAAATATCCACGCCTATTATAGACCTTGGAAAATATTATTTAAAAAAGCTACGCCTATTATAGACCTTGAAAAACATTTTTTAGACCTTGAAAAATGTTTTTTAAACATCCACGCCAAGTGTAGATCTTGAAAAATATTATTTAAAAAATCCACGCCTATTGTACACCCCGCCTTGTCAAGTCCACGAAAAATATTTCTTTTAATTAACGGCTGTTATAATATTATGATACAAAACTGGTCTTTAAATCCCTTCTTTATAGCGTTTATAAACTCTACAAAATATTGAGCATACTTTTAGGCGCTCAAGTATAAAGTTCTCCCTATTATAAATGCGTGCATTCAGTTGCCAATCTTAAAATATTAAAATATTTTAATTTATGAAAACATTTTATTATAGACCGGATGTTAATAGAAAATTTCAATAGCAGCAATACGACCTTTCCCTATTTTCTACCGCATGACAACTTCGTACAGGATGTTCATACGGTAAGCATATCAATAATAAAATAAATTCCCCATTGGGTCTATTAAATATTTCCATTATATTCCATTGCAGCTAACATGTGCCCTGGTCAATACTCTGCCCTATGATAAACGTTGTGACTATGTTCGCGCCACCGCCCAGTGTTCGGAAGATGTTTTCATTTTTAATTACATCGAACTGTTTTACTGCCGAATCGATACCAGCCAGATGGTGCTGGTGGTGGGTGGGATTGTGGCCCTACTTCTATGTTGTGCTTTGCTGTTCCTAATTCTAGGCTCCACTGCTGATGGGTTGTAAGTTAAGGATACACTCCTAGCGGAATTTATTTTTTTTTCAAAAATAATTTTGCCCTTGCAGTTTCTGCCCCTCCCTGAAGGTCCTTTCCACGATGTTGGGTCTAAATGAAAATGTGGCCGGTGTTACACTGCTGGCATTTGGCAATTGTGCTCCCGATATGATGACCAGTTTGACGGGTTTGAGTGGTGAATCGCGCCGCCTATATTCTGATATTATGGCTGGCGGATTATTTGTAGTGTTTTGTGTGGCGGGGTGTATTGTGGCCTTTGTACCCTTTGTTACACAGCCCAGTAACTTTCTAAGGGATTGCTTGTTTTTATTGTTGGCTGTGGTATTCATCGATTATAGCATGATTACGGATAAGGCCATAACGGTGTGGGAGGGTGTAGGTATGTAGTGGATGTATTTTTTTTTTTAATTTGAAGTGAAGGGGAGGCTTTTTATTGGGATTCTTGTGTTACTTCTAGGGATCTTGGGTATCTATTTGTGTTATATTGTGGTCGTATGTCTGGATCAATATTTGGTTGTGCAAAAAGTGAAAGGTAGGAATAAAAAGATTGTGGAAGCATCAATACAAGGAACGCCTTGTGTAGATCCTTGAAAAAAATATTCTTTAAAAAATCCTTGATCCTTGAAAAAATATTCTTTAAAAAATCCTTGATCCTTGAAAAAAATATTCTTTAAAAAATCCACGCCTGGTGTAGATCCTTGAAAAAAATATTCTTTAAAAAATCCTTGATCCTTGAAAAAAATAATCTTTAAAAAATCCTTGATCCTTGAAAAAAATATTCTTTAAAAAATCCACGCCTTGTGTAGATCCTTGAAAAAAATATTCTTTAAAAAATCCTTGATCCTTGAAAAAATATTCTTTAAAAAATCCTTGATCCTTGAAAAAAATATTCTTTAAAAAATCCACGCCTGGTGTAGATCCTTGAAAAAAATATTCTTTAAAAAATCCTTGATCCTTGAAAAAAATAATCTTTAAAAAATCCTTGATCCTTGAAAAAAATATTCTTTAAAAAATCCACGCCTTGTGTAGATCCTTGAAAAAAATATTCTTTAAAAAATCCTTGATCCTTGAAAAAATATTCTTTAAAAAATCCTTGATCCTTGAAAAAAATATTCTTTAAAAAATCATTGATCCTTGAAAAAATATTCTTTAAAAAATCCTTGATCCTTTAAAAAAATATTCTTTAAAAAATTCACGCCTTGTGTAGATCCTTGAAAAAAATATTCTTTAAAAAATCCTTGATCCTTGAAAAATATTCTTAAAAAAATACTTGATCCTTGAAAAAAATATTCTTTAAAAAATTCACGCCTTGTGTAGATCCTTGAAAAAAATATTCTTTAAAAAATCCTTGATCCTTGAAAAAATATTCTTTAAAAATCCTTGATCCTTGAAAAAATATTCTTTAAAGAATCCACGCCTTGTATAGATCCTTGAAAGTTATATTCTTTAAAAATTCAACGCCTTTTGTAGATCCTTGAAAAAATTATTCTTAAAAAATCCAAGCCTTAGTTTATTCCCAAAAAATATTTTAAAAAAAATCCTCCATTTCAGCAATGAAAGCCGATTCGCGAAGTCTTTCAAGCATCTGTAAGTATAGCTTCCTCTCATTGCCTTTGAGAGCCCTTACCTAATCTTGCGCACCCCCTCCTAAGCTTCTGAATACTTTTCCCGTTTGTCACGAGAGGCCCACTTCGAAATCCATTCACGTAGCTGCAGCCAGCAGATGGAGCGGAACTCTATACCCTTCAACACCGAACACCATGCCAATTATTTACTCTTTCAACAATTCTGGAATGCAATAAATCCTATTGATCGAGACGAATGGCTGGAGGGTGGTAGATGGGATCACACCATAATGCTGTTAAAAGCTCCCATCGAATTCGCACTGAAACTTCTGATACCCATTGTGGATTTTGAGCTAGATGATCATGGTTGGTCAAAACTTCTGAATTGTCTGCAGTTGATTGGATTGCCGGTCTGCATAAGCTGGGCTCTGGTGGGAGGGGAATTTTTTCTGTTTGGAATTCCATTGTGGGTTGGTTCAGCAATTTTGACAGTACCCTTGGCTATGTTGGCATTTTGTAGAAGTCGAACAGATATTACGCCGGAATTTCATAAGGTAAGGTATTTTTATTTTTTGGAAGATTACTTTTTTTAAGATTTAGAGAACTTTTAGTATTTTGCTCTCCTGTCAGCTCTGGGTTCAATTTATGTCATCTATGCCTGTGCGGCCGAGACGATTAGCATCCTGAATGTCTTGGGTTTGACCACGCAGCGTAGCAACTCTTTCTTGGGTTGCACTCTTTTAGCTTGGGGCAACAGCATTGGTGATTTGGTGGCAAATGTGGCCTTGGCTCGTCAGGGCTATCAGAAAATGGGCTTTGCCGCATGTTTTGGAGGACCGATGTTTAGTGAGTATATCAAAGGTCCTCTATTTAAAAAAATATATATTTTTTTCAGGGACCTTCAAGGCGTGGATTTATTAAAAATAATTTTTTCAGGGACCTTCAAGGCGTGGATTTATTAAAAATAATTTTTTCAGGGACCACCAAGGCGTGGATTTATTAAAAATAATTTTTTCAGGGACCTTCAAGGCGTGGATTTATTAAAAATATTTTTTTCAGGGACCTTCAAGGCGTGGATTTATTAAAGAAGAAATTCTTCTAAGGACCTTCAAGGCGTGGTTTTATTAAAAATAACTTTTTCAGGGACCTTCAAGGCGTGGTTTTACTAAAAATAATTTTTTCAGGGACCACCAAGGCGTGGATTTATTAAAAATAATTTTTTCAGGGACCTTCAAGGCGTGGATTTATTAAAAATAATTTTTTCAGGGACCTTCAAGGCGTGGATTTATTAAAAATAATTTTTTCATGGACCTTCAAGGCGTGGATTTATTAAAAATAATTTTTTCATGGACCTTCAAGGCGTGGATTTATTAAAAATAATTTTTTCAGGGACCTTCAAGGCGTGGATTTATTAAAAATAATTTTTTCAGGGACCACCAAGGCGTGGATTTATTCCAAATAATTTTTTCAGGGACCTTCAAGGCGTGGATTTATTAAAAATAATTTTTTCAGGGACCTTCAAGGCGTGGATTTATTAAAAATATTTTTTTTCAGGAACCTTCAAGGCGTGGATTTATTAAAAATAATTTTTTCAGGGACCTTCAAGGCGTGGATTTATTAAAAATAATATTTTTTCAGATATCCTAATAGGCATTGGTCTTGGCATGACATATAAGGCAGGAGTCTCTGCGGAGCTGCGTACCAATAAAAAGGTATCCCCAATTTTCTTTCCAAGAATTAAAATAAAATTTTGTCCCTTTTTCAGACAATTGCCGAGGGTACAATGGGTGTAAATATTACGGTATTTCTAATAATAGGGCTAATACTGCTGATATTTGGTGCCAGCTCGACGAACTTTATTTTGCGACGAAGCCTGGGCATTTTTATGATTTTAATTTATTTGATATTTTTGATATTCACATTTTTGGGTGAAATGGAAATTATACACACCTATGGTAGTGATCATCGCATGGATATGAAATTGGAGGAATTGGATTGAGGGGGGAATTGCAAAATAAATTTTAAAGAGAAAATCTGCGAACTTACCCTCTTATCGATCAGCTTGTCACACACATTGAACACCGTCTTTATGGGATTCTTGTCCATGCGTATCGTCTTGCCATAGTAGGTCATGCGACGACTGGTCTTGTATTTGGAATTGAAATTTAGTTCCTGAAAAAAAATTTTAATTTAATAAAAAAAATATTAAAAAAAAACTCTGAAGTCCACTTTTGAAGACATTTTAATTCCTTACCGATATAACATCCACAAATGTCTTATTGCTGATATAGTCGGCCAGTACCCCACCAATGTTATAGGTCTCATCACTGGAGTCATTCGCTTGTATCAAAGGTGACACAAGCAGGACAATTAAATATACCGCCAATGCGGTATATTTTGTAGTAATTGGATTCAAGTTCATTATATTTCGGATGTTATGTCAGGTTTATAACATTTTATCTGAAAAATTAAAAATTTTTTTTAAAAAATCCACGCCTTGTCTGAGGCCTTGAAAAAATAATCTTTAAAAAATCCACGCCTTGTCTGAGGCCTTGAAAAAATAATCTTTAAAAAATCCACGCCTTGTCTGAGGCCTTGAAAAAATAATCTTTAAAAAATCCACGCCTTGTCTGAGGCCTTGAAAAAATAATCTTTAAAAAATCCACGCCTTGTCTGAGGCCTTGAAAAAATAATCTTTAAAAAATCCACGCCTTGTCTGAGGCCTTGAAAAAATAATCTTTAAAAAATCCACGCCTTGTCTGAGGCCTTGAAAAAATAATCTTTAAAAAATCCACGCCTTGTCTGAGGCCTTGAAAAAATAATCTTTAAAAAATCCACGCCTTGTCTGAGGCCTTGAAAAAATAATCTTTAAAAAATCCACGCCTTGTCTGAGGCCTTGAAAAAAATAATCTTTAAAAAATCCACGCCTTGTCTGAGGCCTTGAAAAAATAATCTTTAAAAAATCCACGCCTTGTCTGAGGCCTTGAAAAAATAATCTTTAAAAAATCCACGTCTTGTCTGAGGCCTTGAAAAAATAATATTTAAAAAATCCACGCCTTGTCTGAGGCCTTGAAAAAATATTCTTTAAAAAATCCACACCTTGTGTAGATCCTTGAAAAAATATTCTTTAAAAAATCCACACCTTGTGTAGATCCTTGAAAAATATTCTTTAAAAAATCCACGCCTTGTGGGACCCTTGAAAAATATTCCTTATAATATCCACGCCTTGTGGGACCCTTGAAAAATATTCTTTATAAAATCCACGCCTTGTGTGAGGCCCTGAAAAAATATTCTTTAAAAAATCCACGCCTTGTCTGAGGCCTTGAAAAAATATTCTTTAAAAAATCCACGTCATTGTGTAAGGCCTTGAAAAATATTCTTTAAAAAATCCACGCCTTGTGTAGATCCTTGAAAAAACATTCTTAAAAAATCCACGCCTTGTGTAGATCCTTAAAAAAATATTCTTTAAAAAATCCACGCCTTGTGTGAGGCCTTGAAAAAATATTCTTTAAAAAATCCACGTCTTGTCTGAGGTCTTGAAAAAATATTCTTTAAAAAATCCACGTCTTGTCTGAGGTCTTGAAAAAATATTCTTTAAAAAATCCACGCCTTGTCTGAGGCCTTGAAAAAAATATTCTTTAAAAAATCCACGCCTTGTGTGAAGTCTTGAAAAAATATTCTTTCAAAAATCCACGCCTTGTCTGAGGCCTTGAAAAAAATATTCTTTAAAAAATCCACGCCTTGTGTGAAGTCTTGAAAAAATATTCTTTAAAAAGTCCACGCCTTGTCTGAGGCCTTGAAAAAATATTCTTTCAAAAATCCACGCCTTGTGTGAAGTCTTGAAAAAATATTCTTTAAAAATCCACGCCTTGTCTGAGGCCTTGAAAAAATATTCTTTAAAAAATCCACACTTTGTGTAGATCCTTGAAAAAATATTCTTTAAAAAATCCACACCTTGTGTAGATCCTTGAAAAATATTCTTTAAAAAATCCACGCCTTGTGGGACCCTTGAAAAATATTCCTTATAATATCCACGCCTTGTGGGACCCTTGAAAAATATTCTTTATAAAATCCACGCCTTGTGTGAGGCCCTGAAAAAATATTCTTTAAAAAATCCACGCCTTGTCTGGATATTGAAAAATATTCTTTAAAATATAATATTATTTGAATGTCCCCATTTTTTTATTTTTAAATATGGCAACTCTGGTATTTTAATGTTTGTTTACTTTTTTCTTGTTCTCCATTGATTACCATATTCTGCTCCAATTCTGCCCCCACCCGGTTAGCTTTAACAAACCAACAACAAACGATCATCTGTTTGTTGAAAACAATAATCACTCTGCCTCTCATACACATCTTCTCTCTCTCTCTCTCTCGCTGTGTTTATGATACTCATTTCCCCAATACCAAGTCTCTCTCTCCATCTCCCAAATAAACAAGTCTCCCACAATTTAACTCTTTTTTTCCTTCGCTGTTTGGTTTTGTTTCGTTGACTGCGCGTGTGTGTGTATGTCTGTGTGCCCCTACTGTGTTGGAGCTGTGGCTTAATAAAACAAGTCGTTTAGTCTTCTCATCGGTACTCTCTGTTGAACGTCTTAAGCGAACACTTGTTGGATTCTAACGTAGAAACAAGATCGCATAGTCAATCGGCCGTCGTGTTGTTCAGTGTTAAGCCCCACCAAAAGTAAAAAATTTAGTAGCCAACGAATAAGAAAAAAGGCAACAAAAAGAAAGTGAAGAAAAATAAGAAAAGAAAACAAATTTGCTGATTAAAACGTGAAGTATAATCAAATATTTTGAGAAAATAATTGTAAATTAAATAAGAATTTCATTAAGAAAAAATTAGGGGGGCCGAAGTGTTTCCGAATATCAAGCAACCTTTTGTTTTAAAGTCACATAATTTAAATATTGAATTTTTTTCATGCAGTGTTTCGTTTCGTCGTGTCTTAATACGTAGCAAAATTTTTTTCTTCCCTCTGTCGTGTGTTTCTGCCGCTGTTGTTGTTATTGCTGCTGCTATTGTTCTTGTATTACCGACGACAGTACTCGTAGTTGTTGTTGTTATTATTCGGTCTTACTGGCCCGTCCGTCGTGTAAGTTCAAGTAAGCAACAGAAGAAAAAAAACTGTTGATCGTTTGTCGTCGTTGCGGTGAGCTTCGCGTTTAGATCGTGTCTTGGGAACAGAGGGAGTCAATCGGTCGGTGGTTTGGTTGCTTGAGTCTTACTCAGCCACAGGTTTCTGGTTATTGTTGTTGTGTTTTTACGTTTTGGGGCCGTGTTTGTTTTCAAGTCTGCCCAAGTGTATGGGTGCGTGTGTGTGTGCACGGGGTTTTGTGTACTTATGACAGTGTTGTTGTTGCTGTTGCCGCCTGTATGTTGATATTGTATTTGTTTCGTGTAGTGCTGCTGATGCCGATATTGTGTGGTTTTTGTTGTTTTTGGTGCTGCCTGCTGTTTCTGTTTTTTTATTTTCTTCATGAATTGTGGGAGGAGAGAGGGTTATCTTTGTTATTGTAACTATTTATATTCCAAGCTGGGGTTTTTTTAATTTTATTTCATTTTTTTTGCATTCTGTACTTAAAAGCGGCGCCTTGTAGGAGACAAAAAAATGAAATAAATTTATTTTTTTTCTTTTGAGGAAATAAATGAAAAGCCGAAATAAAAATAAAATTGTAAAGAAAATGTGTGTAACAAAATCAATTTCAAAACAAATAAACCGGCATTACTAATTTCTGTTTCAGATATTTCGTGAGTGAGAAAATAAAAATAAATAAGTGAGGTGAGGTATCGCGTGTTCAAGCTCAGGTTAATCATCTAAATAAAAAAAAAATATTGTTGTTGACAGAGCCAGAGAAGAATTGTCTGGCAAAAATTTATCAATCGTTGTGTGATGGACAGACAAACATTGAACTTGAATGAATATAGTATAAATTAGATTAAAGGTAGATTCCATTATTTTTAGGGTGGATGGATCGATTGACCTAGTTATACTCGACAGCATCATATAAAAGAAAATTAATTCGAGCCAATAGATAGATACCAAGCTATGCGAATATTTCGAAGCTGAAATAAATTTAATTTCGTCTTACATTAAAGATGTGGATTATCAGCACTTATGGAATAAAATTAAAGAAAAATTCTCTAAATACCCAAGTGTTAAAATAATAGACAACTACGTTTATATTCCTATGGAATATTTTAGGGGGATTCCTGATCATAAAAACCTAGACTAGAAGTTGTGGATCTGCGAAACAATAAGGTATTCTCTATTAATGAAATTCCGTAATTCTCTCATATTCTCTCGCAGTGTAATGAGGTAAAATATTGGCACACATTCGGAGACATTTCTATTGACCTAGAATGCAAGTCAATTTCCTTTTAAGACACGAAGTGGGTAAACATATTCAGACCATTTCAATGGTTACCATAATCGTGAACCACAACTCTCGATACTAAACCCTTTAAATTCACCCAACGAAGCCTATTCCGAGAATCCCTTAATTGAGGCAGACATAACTCTACTAAAATACGAATTTGTTGAGACTAGAATTGTCGGTCCATTTTGATCAGCCTATGATTGGACTCCCGTTCTTATCCAGACATACTGGTCCGTAAATAGACAGTTTTATTCAGGACATATCATGAGCTGTGATAATTAGTCACTTCCAGTTTTATTCAATAGCTTGTCTTTTCTCATTAGATCCGAAATTGCATTGGAAAATCATATTGACAGATTAGGATCATTCGGTGGGTTCGTCATCAAGCAAAATTCTAGCATCTAGAGTTCGGAAAACCCAAGACTTGTTGTTGAGAAGACTCTCCATCATAAACGTTGGTCTGTTCAGCGAGGGTCTTACTTTTTCAATTGTTATGGCGAATGAGACGATAAATTATTTATTATGGACGAAGTTAGATGCTATAGATCGGCGTTTCGTGTTACACAATCTACAAAATACTCGTTTTCGAGAAATGTTATCTCTGGAAGAGGTAACAAAACCACGGTGTAGAGTAGTTATGGAAGGAACTATTTTAAAGGAACTTATTTCAGTAGTGTTGGCGGTTTATTATTTTATTTGGGATACCATTTGTATTTTGTTTTTGCAAAATAGTCAGGCTGAATCCCAGTTTGTTGTTTTTATAAAAAAACAACTATTTATTAGTGGGGAATGTATGGCATTGTTTGCCGAGGGGTAAGGCAGGGAAGACTATAGTTTCGGATCACGCCACTGATCCTCATCAGTTCCCTTAGTTTTTTGTTGGGATATTCTCCCCAGAAGCTATTGCTTCTATACAAAAAACCTTTCATACCCAAATGTCTCTTGTAACAAAGCGAAGTACTTAGCTGACCAACGACATAAACTGCA